TAACGCAGAGGAATAGTGTGGAACTTTGTTGGATCAAAGGACACAGTGGCAACGAAGGAAACGAGAGAGCAGATGAGATGGCGAAGCGAGCCGCGCGCATGCCCTTCTGGGGACCTGAACCGGCAATCACGCCTTCGGTCGCCCTCTCGAACGAACTCGTAAAGCAATATACCCAGAGACGCCATGAGCAGATATGGGTGAAGTTGAGCAGCTGTCGGCATAGTAGAGCTTGTATGGCGACACCAGACCGTAAGTTGACGAAATTTTATCTCTCACTTTCAAGGGACAAACTGCGTAAACTGGTAGGATTCCTTACGGGACATTACCAGTTTAACAAACATCTATATACGATAGGGGTGGTAACAGACCCAATCTGTCGTGGATGCAATGAAGAAGAGGAAACAGCTGAGCACATTCTTCGTGAGTGTCCAGCCCTAGCCTCCTACAGGGAATCCATACTAGGGGACATCTGGCCTAGTATGGCAAATATCAGGGAGTTTCCACCCTCTGCATTACTCAAGTACATTCAAGCAGTTGGGTGGCTTGACGAGTAGAGGAGCGGGAAAACACCCTGATATGGACTTGGGGAAGGTACAATGGGCCCAAAGGCGAGGCCTAGGTGCCGGCTGGCTACGGTCAGCCCCCATAAATTAAGAATCCAGAATCCATAGTACTAATTATTTCTTGAATTTTCATAAGTGCGTTTTTTGGTTTTTATCATATTTAATGATAAATAGAGATGATTCCATAATATCAATGGATTTTAAGTGCAACCGCCTAGATAGACTTGATGTTTCGCGTCCACATCCTCGGCCTTTAAAACTTCGTTTCGATAACGCTCAACATGCACAAACACTTTTCCATAAATTGAAATCTAATCGTACCCAAATTCAAAGTGATGAGCAATTCAGGAATATAAAAGTTTCAATGGATAGGACACCAAGACAGATTGCCTACTTTCGTCGAATCAAAGAAGAATTAAATCAGAGAATTGCAAATGGAGAGGCTAATCTTCGTATTAAGTTTTTCAATGGTATTCCTAGTATTACAAAGGTCAATAATTTAAACTAATGTCTCCCTACGTTCCAATTGTCTCAATATATGTATTATCAAAATCTGCGCAGTATTCGGAATAAAGTAAATGATTTTTTTAATGGCACTAGTGACATGGGCTTTGACATCATTTGTATTTCTGAAACATGGCTAAATGATTCTATCTCTAATTCAGAAATAATATCCCCTCACTTATATAATGTGTATAGGTGTGATCGTAATTATAATCAGTTAAATACTTCAAGAGGTGGGGGTGTTCTTTTGGCATTAAAATGCTCTATCAATGTAGAAAATATTGATTTAACTAATCTACTTAATGAATTGATCAATGTTGAGATTGTAGGGTGTAAATGCTATCTAAACAGACTACCATTCTATATATTTGTTGTCTATTTTCCAAGAACACCTTCTCATAATGATTTACTTATACTCTGTAATTATTTTGAAGATAACTTTAGTGGTGAAGATAATTTGTTTATAATAGGAGACTTTAATATTCCACAATACACTACTGATACAAATAATACTCTTGTTCTTACACTTAACAACTTTAGTAAGTTTTTGAATCTATCTCAGTATAACATCATCAAAAACTCTAGTGATAGATTGCTGGATCTTGTTTTCTCAAATACTAACTGTAAGGTCATGCGTGATTTAGTTCCTATCGTTGTAGAAGACTCTTACCATCCAGCTCTCTCAGTTTTAATTGATTTGACAAGTGATAGCACAAACTCTTTTCCAAATAATAATGTAAGTCAATCTAAGTCTTTCAATTTTCGTAAAGCTAATTTTCCTTTGCTTTATCAGGAACTTTGTAATGTGGATTGGTCTTTTTTAAGTAATTTCAAGGACACTGATACCATAGTAGAACATTTTTACAGCTATTTATATAAAATATTAAGCAAACATGTGCCAACATACAGAGCTATTTCCAAAAAAACTAGATTCCCACCATGGTTTGATAGTAACATAATCAGTAATGTTAAATCCAAATCGTATTATCATAAGAAATATAAAAAATATAAAAATTCATTTTATTACTCAAAGTTCAAATTTTACCGTAAACTGCTAAAAAACCAAATAGCTGCTTCACATAAAAAATATCTCGCGGATATAGAAACTGATCTTAGGAACGACCCCAAAAAATTGTGGTCATATGTACAATCTAAAAAAGGTCTGACCAGAATTCCTGGTCGAATGATCTATAATGATAACTCCCTTAATACTCCTTCTGATATTGTTGATGCATTTGCCTCTTATTTTCAGTCTTCTTATACTCAATCTTCTGACAATAACTCCAATATAGATGATACTTACAATTTAAACACACCAACGTTCTATATTAAAGAAATTACTGAGCATGATATACTTACTGCCAGAAATTATCTCAATAATTCATTTACAGCCGGTCCAGATGAATTACCTAGTTTCTTCGTACGAGACTGCAAATATGTATTTATCCAGCCTTTATTAGCAATATTTAATACCGCCCTCAAGAATGGTGTCTTTCCATCGAAATGGAATTTGTCTAAAGTTATACCTGTTTTTAAATCTGGAGACAAAGCTGATGTTTCAAAATATCGTCCGATCTGTATCTTATGTAATTTCTCCAAAGTTCTTGAAATTATTTTATACTCTTACATATATCCTCATGTGAGAAACTTTATTTCACCACAACAACATGGTTTTATTGATAAACGCTCAACTGTCACAAACCTGGCATGTATATCTCAATTTATTGCTGAAGAGATTGATAACCAATCACAAGTGGATGTAATATATACAGACTTTTCAAAAGCTTTTGACCGCATTGATCACAAAATTTTAACATCTAAGATTGAAGCATTTGGCATTACAGGTTTGGTTTTACATCTTTTAAAATCATATATTTCTCATAGGTCTCAGTATGTCTTCTACAATGGTTTCTCTTCTTTTACATATCAAATACATTCTGGTGTGCCGCAAGGAGCCAATCTGGGGCCGTTATTGTTCATAATGTTTATCAATGATTTACCAACTATATCAAAATGCCCCCTTCTACTGTATGCTGATGATGCCAAGTTGTATAACGTTATTAATGATTTTAAAGATGCACAATTACTGCAAGATGATTTAAACCGACTTAATTTGTGGTGTTCTTCCAATAAACTATATTTGAACGTGAATAAATGTAAAGTAGTATCGTTTACACGTAAGACCTCTCTTACAATTTATGATTATAAGTTTGGTAATGACCCACTAATTAGAGAAAGCGTCATCAAAGATTTAGGTATCTTTTTTGATTGTAAGTTAAAATTTGTGTATCATATTAATCATATAATAGGGAAAGCATTTTCATTATTAGGCTTTATAATAAGACAAGGTAAATCGTTTAATAATATTTCAACAATTAAGGTTTTGTTTAATTCTTATGTTGTTGCATGTTTACAATATGGATGTATTATTTGGCATCCAATTTATTTCATTCATATAAGTGCTATTGAAGCAGTTCAGAGAAGATTTCTCAAATTTTGTTGGTTCAAAAAACATGGTATCTATCCGCAGCGTGGAATTGATAATACCATTTTGTTAGCTGAATTTGAAATGCTATCTTTGAATAGTAGAAGACAAATCGCCATTATAACGTTCTTTCATAAAATCGTTCAGTTTAAAATTGATTGTGCTGAGTTACTAGCAAAGATTTCATTTCATGTTCCACGGCTATGTTGCAGAGGAGCATTGTCTTTATACTTTCCTGCAGCTTGTACAAATATATTAATGCGATCTCCAATTAATTTAATCTGTATGTTATATAATAACAAGTTTAAGGATTTGGATGTCTTTTACCTTAATGAAATAAATTTTAGGAAATTAGCGAGGAACATGTTAAATTAATGACACTAGTTTAGTTTATTTTTTGTTACATTATTGTTTACTTACTTAGGATTTGATTTATGTTTTTTTTTTTGTGTGTTAATTAATATTTAAATCGTCGGTTCGATCTTATTTTTTGTTTATTTATAATTATTAATATTGCTCTGTAAGAGGTTCTAGGAACTGTAGGGCAATAAAGGTTATTATTATTATTATTATTATTATATTTCAAAAACTATACAAAATTTTTTCTTAATTTTTTAACTGTAGTAGGTATAACCCAACAATACTGATTCTAACAATATAACTTCTACTGTATTAAAAAAAATCTTTGTTGCTACTTGTACAAATGTTTTACTATATGAAAATCAAATTTTAACACGAATAAAAGCGAAGTGAACAAAATTTGATGAAAATTTGCGTAAGAGAAATCGGTAGGTGGTAAAGTAATCTTTCGTTTCCGTTAAAGCCATCCGCAAAAACTCGCCATCCACATAAAAATGGTACATGACCATCCTTCCAGCGACCCTCCCAGCGCCCTCCGGACCCATCGCTACGAATACGCCAGACAATAACCAAACTGAACGCATGAGAAGGCATGTTCGAAAATAAAAAGCGCGGACATGGAATGACGTGCGGCGTGGTTCACGCTTCGCGATTTCCCATTATTCTTGTACACCTATATAAGATGTGTAGCACAAAGTGTGTAGAAAATCTTATCCGGCGAGGAACATCGTCGCATTATCGCGACGGCGATCGCAGATCTCGACGATATTTTATATAATATGTAAATTGGGTGTGTATCGCATCCCGTTTCTTCCGATTAAGACATATTCGAACCGATCAAAAGGTTAATCTTAAACGACGTCGACAGTCACGCGAGACTATTTTTATTCCGGGTTTCCGTGTCCACACTCGAATGTTACACGAACAGACGTCAGCCCGATTTTGGCTAAGTTATGGCCGGTCGGGGGGCTGACGCAGGGCGGGATTTTTCGCCCCAGATCGCGAACTTAGAAACATTCCACAGGAGGAAATTTTGAAAACTATTTTCGGAGGGTAGGCAAAATCTGAATTGTATCATGAAAACTTACCTAATTTATCACATGCAGGTTTCTAGTCGAAAACATATCTGAAAAAAATATATATACATTAGAGATATTGTCTTTCGTCTTGTTGTTTGAAAAAAAAAAAGTGGTAAGGATCATATTCTAGCTCATGATCTAGAAGTAAAAATGACATTATGTCAACCTCTTCAATTTTTCGTTTGAACCAGACCCCGTTCCGCACGGGCCCCGTCTCCCCTAGCCGGCCCCACGCACCCCGAATTCGCAGTCAGGTAGTCGTTTTCACATATTCACCTGTCCCAAGTGATACATGGTGTCGTCGTTGGCGCCGCAAGCCCATCCCTCTCACCCGTCTGCCGCCGTCCAGGGCCGTACCGCTCACAATTGCGCAAGGGCCGTGCGACAGGTGCGTCCCAGGCGGCCCGTGTCGAAACGTAACGACAGAAAAAACGGCACCGCTCATCCCGTCCACGGCCGACCAGATTTCGGTCATGGATCGGTGGTTAAAGACGCGTATGATGGTCATATACGCGATGCTGTCATGTGTGACGATCATTTACCGCTCCAGCTGTTTCTTCGGACTCGGAGGAGTGATCGAGTGAGATGGAGCGGCGTGGAGGTGCAGATAATTGGAGGTGGATGACGACAATGTTTCGTCTTCGGCCGGTCGGGGGCGGCGGGGTGGAAGGTCGCGGCCGAATGGACGAGAGGATTGAGAGTTTTTTGGTGTGTGTGTGTGGAGAGGTTCTTTGTCTTGAACTTGATGGATTTCCAAGTTTTAAACGTATTGCGAGGCAAAATAATAATATTTATATACATACAACGATTGATACTAAGTACGGAAATTTTAATTTAAATGTTAACGATATTGTACTTTCACAATTCTTTCTTGACAACAGGAGTATTGAAATTTTTATGGAAAATATCGAACTGATTATTAGTAGAAATACTATTATATAAACGAAAACAGTTTAAAAGGGGACAATTAAAGTGATGGTAGGTGTTAGGAATATCATATGAAAACGTCAATGGACATCTTGTGCCTAATCTAGGTACATTAAAGCTAATTTGGTTGTGTAAAACTTGACTAGATATTGTACCACTAACAATGTTTTCTAAAAATATGATACTTCTGTTTATTAATGAAGTTTCATTTACCACCCTAAGTAGATCTATTTGATCACAATGTCTTGTTGGATAAGTACCAAACATTTTAAAGTAGAGGTATTTAGCACGTGCTAAAATAAGAATGATTTTGGCAAATGACATACCTTCCAAGAAACGAGAGGGTGGGTGGGCGGGACAAGTACCTGTTAAGATAAGAGTGATTTTGGCAATGACATACCCTCTAAGAAAAGAGAGGCCAGGTGGGTGGGGCTAGTATTATTATTTACATTTATTTTTGTGTTCTAGATTTTCCATTTTAAATGAATGTCTTCGATCATTCAAAATTATTTATACGATGAAAAACTACGCTCTTCATCGATGAATATTATTGGGGCATATTTAAGGGACCACACAATTTGAGGGTCTATATTTACCTCATCTGAAAACTGTCGATCGAAAACTTTTGCCACATTAGTTGGTCTAGTAAAACTCCCACTTTTACTAAGGACTTCGTCTAGTTTTTTGAGACTGTTTGAGCAATAGGACCTTGTGCTTTATTGATATAATTTTTTAAATTTTCTATTAGCTGTACGAATTCACTTCGGGGTACTTTTTGTTTTTCTAATTTTTTAATGTTACACCAATTAATTCGTAGTTGTTATTTATGAAAGTTAAGTTCGACAGAACTTCCCTTGCACCAAAAGTACAATGAAACGTATCTAGCATTTTCGAGTAAGCTCGTAATATTTCCAAATTTTGATAATATTTTGTAAAAGTTAGTCATGAGTACCTACTTGATAAGATAACACTGATTTTGGGAAATGACATACCTTCCAAGAAACGAGAGGGTGGGTGGGCGGGACAAGTACTTGCTAAGATAAGAGTAACTTTGGCAAATCACATACCTTCCAAGAAATGAGAGGGTGGGTGGGCGGGGCTAGTACCTGCTAAGATAAGAGTGATTTAAAGGCTATTTAAAGTCTGTTTAGCTTCCTTAATTAGCGCAGATGAACTATTCATCAAATTTTGGCATGATTTCCTTCATCTTACAGGAATATTTGAAATAAAATAAAGCAGCGTCAAACCATGTAACCCATTATGTAATGGGAGATTTGGGAAGCAATGGTATATCTGCTAGTGTGTCTTTGTATACTTGTACTCTTAAAGGAGCCTTAACAAAACCTTTTTCATATTATTAATTAGTTAATTAATTTACAAATGGAAATTGAATTCGTACATCTTCCGCTATTCTGTTTACACCCTGGGCTCGACACGTGGAATGAGTAAAATTTGGATAAAATACTTTTAAGTGGATTCCAGCTTTGACCATATATGAGGCAGCATCAAAAAACATTAATACGATTTTGTTGAATGGTATAGCATTGGATAAAAATATGTTGGTTAAAATTACCACGAAAAATGCAGCAAAAATTTTAAAATATGCAATAAATGCAAACAAAATAGTTAAATATATTGATATAATAATCATTAAAACTCCGCCAACATAATAATAATATTAATAATAAATAGAATTTATTTTCCAACAGTCAATGAAAATGTTTATAGTGGATACATATTACAAAATCACATAATGGAACAATAACATAATTATATTTATAAACAACCATTGACACTAAGTATAAAAATTTAAATTTAAATGTTAACGATATTGTACTTTCAACAATTTTTTCTTGACAACAGGAGTATTGAAATTTTTATGGAAAATATCAATCTGATTATAAGTAGAAATATTATTATATAAACGAAAACAGTTTAAAAGAGGACAGTTAAATGGACATCTAGTGCCTAATCTAGGCTAATTTGGTTGTGTAAAACTTGACTAGATATTCTACCACTAACAATCTTTTGTAAAAATATGATACTTCTGTTTATTAATGAAGTTTCATTTACCACCCTAAGTAGATCTATTTGATCACAATGTCTTGTTGGATAAGTACCAAACATTTTAAAGTAGAGGTATTTAGCAAATTTTCTTAGTACGTTCTCTAACACATCTATATATGTATAATTGAAGATACGGCTTCCATACAATGCAGCAATACTCAAGCTTTGACCTAACTAAAGCATAGAATAATAATTTAATACACTGAATATTAGTAAATTCTTTAGTATTTCGATAAATAAAGCCTAAAAGTTTCATAGCTTGATTACCAAGATGTATAACATGTGGTCTAAACGAGAGCGTGTTGTCCATGATGACACCAAGATCTAACAGCTGGTTACAATTTTCAAGAACATAACCCTCTACATTATAGTAAAAATTGACCATATTACTAATCCTACCAAGTTATTTTTTTACATTTAGCTTTATTAATTTCAAGCAAATTACTGTCGCACCAGCGATGTAATTTATCGACACAATGTTGTAATTCTAAACAATCCTCTACTCTTGTTATGACTTTCGGTAATTTCAGATCATCAACGTATCTAAATGCTTTACAATTCAAATATTTAACTACATCATTATAGAATATAATAAATAGAAGTGGCCCTAAATTTGATCCCTGACCTACACCACTGTTAACGTCATACATATATAATTTGAAACCACCATAAAAAACAAATTGCTGTCTCCGTTTTATAAGTGATTTAATAACAGACACCAGTTTATCACAGATTCCAAAACAGTCCAATTTCTTTAATAATATATTTCATAAAAACATATACAACATGTATACATTTTTGCACGTCATAGCAAAGTAATCGATTACATTACATAAATAATTAGGTACAAAACAAATTAAAAATTAAAAATTAAAAACAGAGACATATCAATTAAAATATTCGTTAACAGCATAACAATTTTTTTCTAATAAATATCGTTTAATAGTTTTCTTGAATGTAAAAAAAATATCTATTTTTTTTATATCGTTCGGCAGGTTATTATAAAGTTTACACGAATTAAAGAATAAACTTCTTTGGTATTTTGACGTAACATGTTTCTCAGGTAGAAGACATTCCCTGTTTCTGGTAAAATATGTATGAGTAGCACCTCAGGTTTGAAATTTTCCTCTATATATAAAGACAAAACATAATACCTTACATATGTAAATATTAGCAACAGTAAGAATATTGTAAATCTTAAAGAATGGTCTGCAAGAATCCAATTTTTTCAAATTGAGATGATCTATACCAATTCTCAATGCCATAGGCAAGTATCGAGTGGAAGTGACCAAAGTATAGAGTTATCAGGATATCCCTACAACAGTGGTGCGAAGCACTTTTAAGCATATAACAAACCTTCGTTAGTTTACCACAAATATAGTCAATATGTGACGTCCACGACAATGTGTTGTCAACTACAACTCCCAGTAGTTTACTAGAATTAGACAATGATATATTAAGAGAGTTTTCAAAACTACTATACCTTTTCCGAAATAACATGTGCGTTGTTTTGTCATTATTAATCACAAGCCTATTTTTGTTACACCATAAAGTTATGCTTTGCAATAGTCCGGTTGAAATAGAAGGAACTTCTTGTAGACTGTTACCAGTTATCAAAAAATTTGAATCATCAGCTTAATAGATTTGCAAAACATTAGGAAACTTTTGTAAATACAAATGAAGGTCATTAGCATAGATAATAAACAAAGTAGGCCCGAGGATCGACCCTTGAGGCACTCCGCAATCTACACTTCTTAACGAGGAGAAGGTGGCATTATGTAACTGCACTTTTTGCGAACGATTGGATAAGTAAGAGGTAAACCAATCTAGAGCAACCCCACGAATTCCATATCTATGAAGTTTTTCAATTAGTATTTGATGGTTCACACAATCGAAGGCTTTAGTGAAATTCACATACAAACCCATGGTTGTTAAATTTCTATCAAGTGATAACTGAATGTTGTGAATGAATTGGCTGAGTGCAGTGTCAGTACTAAAGCTTTTTCTGAATCCATGCTGGCAATTGTGTAAGAGATTATATTTTTCTAAAAAG